TCACCCCCCTCACCCTCACTTTTGTAAAAAGCGTATTTCAAACACTAGAGACTTGTGCTTTGACAATTACATGCATATTCATGTTATAATCATAATCTAAAAGTTTCATGAAGATCGTACGTCCATAAAAAAAGTTATTAAACAATTAAGTTCTCATAGTAAGCGCACACTGCAGCCCATGCGTGTTTATGCGTGGTTGCTTGTATGTGTATGTGTGTGTGTATGTGTGTGTGTGTATGCGTTTGTGTCTGTATGCGTGTGTGTGTGTATGTGTGTCTGTATGCGTGTGTGTGTATGTATACCTGTGTGTGCGTACGTGCGTGTGTGTGTGTGTGTGTGTGTGTTTTGTGTGAAGCTGAAAGTCGCGAAAAAGTATTGAAATATCTATTGCTCCAAGGGTTCAGGGGATCTCGTAGTCGAGCAGTCTCGACTAGAGCTTTCTTACTTGTTTTTGTATATGTTTTTATTTTTATTTTCATTTATTATTTATTATTTATGATTGCTGTACGAAAATACTTTACTGGCTGAGCCTGTCGCTCGGCGCTGTGGGCATTGTTAATCATCTTCTGCATTGCATGCAAGTGCGAGGAGCGTGGCCCCGGGGGAAAGTGTGGTGAAAAGCCAAAGGCGTAGAGGAAAATGTTGAAAAACATAAGAAAAGCCACATTTCTTATCGAGTCTCCTCTGGCTGCGCTGGGGCGAATTGCGCTTGGCTGTGGCCGCCTGTCGAGCCCTGAAGGTGCGATAAAATAAAAACATTAAACCCCAAAAAGACGTAACAACAAATGCAGCACAAATAACAGCAGCAGAGGAAATTGGATAGAAGAAATGAAAGAGGGAAAATTTAAGGGGAAAGTCGACTTGGACTTACGCTTTTTAAATGAATATCAAAATGGATCTGCAAAGGACAATACGGTATAGTAAAGTTAATTTAAAGGAGCTGCAAAGTATACTAAGCAGTGTTGTAAAGCGCTGTTAGCTACAGCTTGAAGTGATTTTGTGAAATGGTAGAGTTTTTACCTGATTGAAAATCAGTTATTTTAAATGAAATTCTATGTTGAGGTGTTGCAAAATGAAATAGAGTACAGTGCTGTAAAGCACACTAAGAAGATTCATATCACTACTAATTCATATGATCATTAAGAAGATTCCTATGACTACATTTCATAAGCACATTTTTATCAATTTATTTACTACTTTGTGCTTCTGCTCAGGTTTTTCATAAACTAGTGTTGTGTAATGCTCTTAAATAGAGCTTCTCATAAATTCTGTATGTTGTTTTTAACACTTTGGTGCTTGAATACTTTTCCTATGTATCCTCCTTTCTATGTTACATCAGTAGGTAGACGCTAATATAAATCTAATCTTAAAATTTTATACAAACTAATTTTCAATTGACCTCAACTTTATGTTTTATCTTAAGCAGAAAGCTTTTTTCTTGAAATATATATATATAGTCTAAGAGTAAGTTAGTCTGAGTTCCTTGAAAAACTTGAGAAAAATTTTACTTCATAAAACTGTAAATAATCAAGCGCTTAGCACAGCAAGTTTCTGAAAGCTCATGAATAAGCTTCTCTATGTTATTTGAAGGTATTCCCTTTCGCTTGTCTGTTGTAAGTTGCTTATTTATATATGAGAGTATAGAAAGTATATTAGTGTATACGAAGACGCATTTAGGTAACACACACACACACACATACACATGCATACAGCTAGTGTGGCTAGGCAGGTAGACAGCTGGGCTGGTGGGCAGGTGGGCGGTGTACATTTACAGTTGAACATGCAACGAAATGAGCGCCTGACATGACATGCCAACGGTTTTGACATGAAATGTGCAAAGCTCTCAGGAGAATGCGAGTGTGCAAGTGTGTGCAGGTGTGAGTGTGCATGTGTGTGTGTGTGTGTGTGTTTTGTGTGTGATGTGTGTAAATTTGCATGATGAAAAAATAAAAAGTGTTGTGAGTGAGTGAGTGACATAGCCACGAAAACCCTACCGAGCTGTACTTGAGCTTGTATAGAGCTCGCTAATTACTGGGACGGGGCATAGTAATTATTATTATACACGGTATTTTACCACTACATATGTACATATGTACATATGTTATACATCTATATTTGAATATGAGAAAAGTAGTGTTATTTCGTTAACAGTCGACACTTTTTGAATTTATAATAAGCCTAAAAGCCAAATAATTATGAGAACTCAACAACAGGGCGAAACAGTTGTGGGCATTTAAATATACCCATATAATAGCTGGGCGTTTCTACGAATAGGTTTACCATTAACTCAATATACAAGAATGGATATACGGGTTTTTGTATAATCAATAGGAGGAAATTTTAGAGCTAGATAATCGTAAAGAGCTTAAAAGCTACTACTATAATGATTTAAGTACTATTCCTTCCACTGCTCTATTACTTTATTATACTATATAAACGCGATTACTACTTAAGTTACACCCTAGGATCAATGCTACTATAATACCATACTACTATTTTAAAGAGTACTCCTTTTACTACTCCATACTACTTTATATCAAATAGTATACTACTATTTAAAAATATTACGGAATGCTACTAATTCCTTCTACTACTCTACTACTTTATAGCTTCTAAGTGTGATTACTATTACTATAATACTATACTCCTATTTTAAAGAGTACTGTACTTACTACTAGCATTACGGCTACTCCACTCTATCTTATCTCACATACCATACTATACTACTATTTGCAAATACTACTGTGCACTACTCTACTTTACTAGTCAAACTACTTAACATATTTCATCTACCTAAATTCAAGTTTGTGTAGGTCGCAGTTTCTTAAGTCCATACCAAATCGTTTGCCATTTATATAACCATATATATACGCATTTCGGTAATAATTTTGGTCTATTTAACTTCACTTCTATTTGCCCAATCTCAGCTATTGACATTTTCGCTTTTACTGTCTCAAGATTTGGCAAACAATTTAGTTCGAATCGCTTTCGGTTGGCAAATGTTTACAGTCGCAGCACTCGAGCACAGATTTGCCGATTCGGGTATAAAATGTGTGAGAGTATTTGGTGTATGGATCAGTCATTCGATTCAATTAGCTCAAGATGCAGACACTGAATCGACTAATTGTCTACTGTTGTGTGCTGCTCCATCTGTTTGGGGGAATTCGAGCTGGACTTTTTCTCAGCCGCAACGGGTATATCTACTGCAAATGGTCGAGTCGGGGATTATGTGACAAATTCGGGCCTAGATGTGTGCAGTACATGGATGGCACGATGAACTATTGCAAGCATTACAAAAACGAATGTCAATTTCTGATTGACCAGTGTCTGTCTAGAACAGGTAAATTGAGGACTATATATACCTTATATACTATATGTATGGTATAACTTTTTGTTTTCTTTAGAGTTTGGTCGCCAGGGTATGCCAGTGCCTTTTTCTCCAGGCTGCAGGAATATTGGTATCAACCAAATGGGCATGTGCGGTACATGATTTTCATTGATATATTAAATATGAAACAAAAATTTTTTTCATTAATATAAAAAAATGTTATGTAACTATTTATTCTGTCTAACTGTAATTATTTATCTGAAAGCTTAATAAAATGATTTAAACAATAAATAATTAAAAACAAATTTTTAATTTATTTTTTTAATGCTTTGTATCACTAGCAACTAAAACAGAAGCTAATGAAAAACAAAATTTTATAAAATGCTTTTAAATGTATTTAATGTTAAATATATACAATTTTTTTTAGTAGAAAAATATTTGTATTAATAGTATAAACTTAATTAATACTTTGAAATATAAAAAAAATAAAAATAATAATGTTTAGCAAGCCAAGCCTTTATAAAAATAATATAAATATGTACATATATTATTAAATGATTTTCATGTAATCAACATAAGCATAAATATAAATTATTATATAGTTTTCATTTAATCAACGTTAATACAACAATTTAAATATATTTTTATTTATATTTAACCCTGCAAAAATCTGCTTTAAAGTTTGAATTATTACAAATTTTGTTTTTATTTTGAACTTGGGAAAATTGATTGCAGCCAAATTGTATTTTTAATATTTTTGTTTTTATTTTTCATTTTTTTCTTGCAGTACTGCAAATGACGCACAAGTGTTGCATAACGCGTTCAACTAAGCGTTCGATGGGCGTTTGTCAAACCGGAAACAGCAGTTCGTCCATTTTGATGATTGCATTTCCGTTGCGCTAGCGAAATGCTGAACAATTATTCATTTTATCATTTGGCGCTGGCAAACGCGTATCTCAGTGTGTGTGTGTGTGTGTGAGCGTGCTCCAATGCCACACACATACAGCAGGGCGCACTTCGTGCAGTTTTTGTGTGCTGTGTTTTTAATTGCTATCGCATAACATGAAAGCGAATTTACCATAAATTGCACATTTTCAAGGCAAAACAACAGCAAAACGAGCAAAAGAAAATTATAGTTTTGGCTAAAGCACACACACACACACTCAGACGCATATACATACGCACACACACTAAATTTATAAAGCACATATTTCGTTTTTTTTAATGTTTTGTTTTTCGTTTACATTTTTGTTGTTTTTCTTTTTGTTTTTTGTGTTTGCGGATTACGAAAATCGCCTGCGGATGCAATTAAAAATTTCAGCAATAAACCCAAAGCTTCCTCATACACAATTGTCACAATATATAGCGGTTATAGAGAGAGAGAGAGAGAAAGAAAATGTAAGCGAAAGAGAGAGGCAGAGAATAAAATATGCGAGTAGAAAATGTGGCAATGCGCTTTATTTTAAGCTTGTTTAGCGATTTTGTTGAATTTTATAATAACATTTAACAATTAATAACAAATCGAAATAAATAAATCATCTTAGAGAATTTTAAAACAAGTTTCTATATATATTTTGTTAATAAAAAGCTAAGATTATTATAATATCACTTGTAATATTATTTGGAATTATTAAATTTTAAAGAAATTTAAAATAAATTCTTCTTTCTATATTTATTTAAGATTTTTAATTATTAATATATAATAAATAAGCTCATAATTATAATTACAATCGAAATCACTATGCAAACTGTTAAATAACATTGGCTGAAATGTTTTAATGAACATTTTCTATGTTATGTCCGGCAGCCATGTTAGCCTAACATAGTTGACAATGAAATTTATGTTAAGCAAGGGCAAACTTTTTTTTGAGAGTATCAAGAATGTTATATTTGTTATATTTGATGGCATAAATTATTCAAGATATGAGTCAATCAACTTTACCGTTTCTCGCACACATGCAAATGCGAAGCATATATGAAATTTCCCCCAGCTCACATTTCATGCATAAATTATTGCAGTATTCCAGTTGTTGTTGTTGGTGTTGGTGTTGGCACAGGGCAAACTTTGATTGATTCGGTTGCTCGAGCACAGTTTTCTGTTCACTCTTTGATAAACTGGCAAAAGCGGGCACAAGGGTTAACGATTGTGAGAGTGTTATACTAGTATATATATACAGGGCATAACTCACATGCTGGGGCCAGCGAATTATTGTTGTTGGCTGCTGCCCTGCAATCGGCCAACCTTTGTTTGCAACTGTAACTCCTCAGTTGACACAGATTGCTACGTGCGATGCGTACACATATTTTGGCATTTGGTCTGCAATTGGCTCGAACTTTGCGCCGGCAAATTTGCAATTTGCTGAGATTGACCTTTGCCTCGGTCGAAGTGCTTGAGTATACGAGAGTGAGCAGAACGAATAGCAGTAGAACAGTTTTCATTGTGTCAGAAATCGAAAATGATATTGTTGTATATCGCTTGGCATTTATATTGTGTCTCAGCCAAGTGCTAGGCTAATTAACTGTCATCTGTGTTTGTTTACTGAAATTGGACAATTCTGGAAGGTTAAACAAGATACTTTTTGAAATTTGAGTCATGCCAGCAAACACAAACACTTGTACAAATATTTAACAAAATTTGTTTATGTATTTTATGTACCATAATCAAAGGCACACTTAACAGTTTAGCCTATATTCCGAGAAGAATGCAACTTATATGATTATAAATTAATTAAACCACTAGATATTGGTCTTGAGTGAGTTTAGCAAACCAATTATGATCAATATTTCCACAAGTTTCATTAATGTACATCGAGTCTCGTAGCACTCAGCTTTTGTCACGCAACTGCCTTAACTCATGTTTCAAGTTGTGTTTTTGTCACATTCATTAGAAGAATTGGCGTACAGCACAGTTTCTTAATCATTCATATGCTATGCCTTTTATTTAGCGAGTAAATTCTGATCAATATTTCCACAAGGTTCATAGATGTACTATATATATATATATCCATCGAGTGTCATATCATTCAGCTTCTCTCATGTCTTAGAGCATTTAGCTTCTGCCATAAATTCGCTAGAAGCATTTATATATCAGTGAATCATGAATATGTTCTCTATTACATGAACAATGAATTCATATTATTCGAGTCTTGTCTACATCGAGTCTTGTAGTATTCTCCTTTGTCATGCAGAGTCTCGTAGCATTCAGTTTTTGTCATGCAGCTGCCCTAATTCAAGTATTGTTTTTGTTACATTCATAGAAGAGTTAAGCCAACTGGTTAATCACACGTTTCATAAGACTATGCCTTTTATTTAGCGAGTAAATTCTGATCAATATTTTCACAAGTTGTGTAGATGTACCATCCATCGAGTGTCATATCATTCAGCTTCTGTCAGTTAGCTTCTGCCATAAATTCGCTAGAAGATCTAAACTAAGAGCATCTATATATCAGTGATCATGAATGTTTTCTATTTCATGAACAATGAATTCATATTATTCAGTCCGTGGCATTGATGAGCATTTAGCTTCGGCCATAACCGATAAAAAGTTATCGAAATCGATAAAAAGTTATCGAAATCGATAAAGTTATCGAAATCGTTAAAAAGTTATCGAAATCGATAAAAAGTTATCGAAATCGATAAAAAGTTATCGAAATTGATTGATGGTTTGATGTGTTGAGAGATTGTTAGACATATAGATTTAAACATAGATTTAAAATGCTTTATGTAGCTTACGGGCTTACACAAGCTCCATAGTATTCAGGCTTCGACATTGATGCACCTGATCGAAACTTGTAGCATTCAGCTTTTGTCATGCAGAGTCTCGTAGCATTCAGCTTTTGTCATGCAGCCGTCTTAGCTCAAGTTTCGAATTTTGTTTTTGTTACATTACTAGAAGAGTTAAGCACAGTTTCTTAATCATTCATAAGGTTATGCCTTCTATTTAGCGAGTAAATCTGATCAATATTTCCACAAGTTGACATCTACAAGTTGTAGATGTACCATCCATCAAGTGCCATATCATTCAGCTTCTGTCATGCAGTCTCAGAGCATTTAGCTTCTGCCATAAATTCGCTAGAAGATCTAAACTAAGAGCATTTATATATCAGTGAATCATGAATATGTTTTATATTTCATGAACAATGAATTTATATTATTCAGTCTTTGGCATTGATGTACCTGATCGAGTCTTGTAGCATTCAGCTTTTGTCATGCAGAGTCTCGTAGCACTCAGCTTTTGTCATGCAGCTGCCCTAATTCAAGTATTGTTTTTGTTACATTCACTAGAAGAGCTAAGCCAGTTAATCACACGTTTCATAAGACTATGCCTTTTATTTAGCGAGTAAATTCTGATCAATATTTTCACAAGTTGTAACATCTACAAGTTGTGTAGATGTACCATCCATCGAGTGCCATATCATTCAGCTTCTGTCATACAGTCTCAGAGCATTTAACTTCTGCCATAAATTCGCTAGAAGATCTAAACTAAGAGCATTTATATATCAGTGAATCATGAATATGTTTTATATTTCATGAACAATGAATTTATATTATTCAGTCTTAGGCATTGATGTACCTGATCGAGTCTTGTAGCATTAGTTTTTGTCATGCAGAGTCTCGTAGCACTCAGCTTTTGTCATGCAGCTGCCCTAATTCAAGTATTGTTTTTGTTACATTCACTAGAAGAGCTAAGCCAGTTAATCACACGTTTCCTAAGACTATGCCTTTTATTTAGCGAGTAAATTCTGATCAATATTTTCACAAGTTGTGCAGATGTACCATCCATCGAGTGCCATATCATTCAGCTTCTGTCAGTTAGCTTCTGCCATAAATTCGCTAGAAGATCTAAACTAAGAGCATCTATATATCAGTGATCATGAATATGTTTTCTATTTCATGAACAATGAATTCATATTATTCAGTCCGTGGCATTGATGAGCATTTAGCTTCGGCCATAACCGATAAAAAGTTATCGAAATCGATAAAAAGTTATCGAAATCGATAAAAGTTATCGAAATCGATAAAAAAAGTTATCGAAATCGATAAAAAGTTATCGAAGTCGATAAAAAGTTATCGAACTCGATAAAAATTATCGAAATCGATAAAAAGTTATCGAAATTGATTGGTTGATGGTTTGATGTGTTGAGAGATTGTTAGACATATAGATTTAAACATATAGATTTAAAATGCTTTATGTAGCTTACGGGCTTACACAAGCTCCATAGTATTCAGGCTTTGACATTGATGCACCTTTTGTCATGCAGAGTCTCGTAGCATTCAGCTTTTGTCATGCAGCCGTCTTAGCTCAAGTTTCGAATTTTGTTTTTGTTACATTACTAGAAGAGTTAGCACAGTTTCTTAATCATTCATATTTAGCGAGTAAATCTGATCAATATTTCCACAAGTTGACATCTACAAGTTGTAGATGTACCATCCATCGAGTGTCATATCATTCAGCTTCTGTCATGCAGTCTCAGAGCATTTAGCTTCTGCCATAAATTCGCTAGAAGATCTAAACTAAGAGCATTTATATATCAGTGAATCATGAATATGTTTTATATTTCATGAACAATGAATTCATATTATTCAGTCCGTGGCATTGATGAGCATTTAGCTTCGGCCATAACCGATAAAAAGTTATCGAAACCGATGAAAAGTTATCGAAATTGATAAAAAGTTATCGAAATCGATAAAAAGTTATCGAAATCGATAAAAAGGTATCGAAATCGATAAAAAGTTATCGATATCGATAAAAATTATCGAAATCGATAAAAAGTTATCGAAATTGATAAAAAGTTATCGAAATTGATTGGTTGATGGTTTGTTGTGTTGAGAGATTGTTAGACATATAGATTTAAACATAGATTTAAAATGCTTTATGTAGCTTACGGTACGGGCTTACACAAGCTCCATAGTATTCAGGCTTCGACATTGATGCACCTGATCGAAACTTGTAGCATTCAGCTTTTGTCATGCAGAGTCTCGTAGCATTCAGCTTTTGTCATGCAGCCGTCTTAGCTCAAGTTTCGAATTTTGTTTTTGTTACATTACTAGAAGAGTTAAGCACAGTTTCTTAATCATTCATAAGGTTATGCCTTCTATTTAGCGAGTAAATCTGATCAATATTTCCACAAGTTGACATCTACAAGTTGTAGATTTACCATCCATCGAGTGCCATATCATTCAGCTTCTGTCATGCAGTCTCAGAACATTTAGCTTCTGCCATAAATTCGCTAGAAGATCTAAATGATGATGATGAGCATTTAGCTTCGGCCATAACCGATAAAAGGTTATCGAAATCGATAAAAGTTATCGAAATCGTTAAAAAGTTATCGAAATCGTTAAAAAGTTATCGAAATCGATAAAAAGTTATCGAAATCGATAAAAAAGTTATCGAAATCGATAAAAAGTTATCGAAATCGATAAAAAGTTATCGAAATCCATAAAAAGTGATCGAAATTGATTGGTTGATGGTTTGATGTGTTGAGAGATTGTTAGACATATAGATTTTAACATATAGATTTAAAATGCTTTATGTAGCTTACGGGCTTACACAAGCTCCATAGTATTCAGGCTTTGACATTGATGCACCTGATTGAAACTTGTAGCATTCAGCTTTTGTCATGCAGCCGTCTTAGCTCAAGTTTCGAATTTTGTTTTTGTTACATTACTAGAAGAGTTAAGCACAGTTTCTTAATCATTCATAAGGTTATGCCTTCTATTTAGCGAGTAAATCTGATCAATATTTCCACAAGTTGACATCTACAAGTTGTAGATGTACCATCCATCAAGTGCCATATCATTCAGCTTCTGTCATGCAGTCTCAGAGCATTTAGCTTCTGCCATAAATTCGCTAGAAGATCTAAACTAAGAGCATTTATATATCAGTGAATCATGAATATGTTTTATATTTCATGAACAATGAATTTATATTATTCAGTCCTTGGCATTGATGTACCTGATCGAGTCTTGTAGCATTCAGCTTTTGTCATGCAGAGTTTCGTAGCACTCAGCTTTTGTCATGCAGCTGCCCTAATTCAAGTATTGTTTTTGTTACATTCATAGAAGAGTTAAGCCAACTGGTTAATCACACGTTTCATAAGACTATGCCTTTTATTTAGTGAGTAAATTCTGATCAATATTTTCACAAGTTGTGTAGATGTACCATCCATCGAGTGCCATATCATTCAGCTTCTGTCAGTTAGCTTCTGCCATAAATTCTATATATCAGTGATCATGAATATGTTTTCTATTTCATGAACAATGAATTCATATTATTCAGTCCGTGGCATTGATGAGCATTTAGTTTCGGCCATAACCGATAAAAAGTTATCGAAATCGATAAAAAGTTATCGAAATCGATAAAAAGTTATCGAAATCGATAAAAAGTTATCGAAATCGATAAAAAGTTATCGAAATCGATAAAGGTTATCGAAATCGATAAAAAAGTTATCGGAATCGATTAAAAGTTATCGAAATTGATTGGTTGATGGTTTGATGTGTTGAGAGATTGTTAGACATATTGATTTAAACATAGATTTAAAATGCTTTATGTAGCTTACGGGCTTACACAAGCTCCATAGTATTCAGGCTTCGACATTGTGTGTAGATGTACCATCCA